ACAAATCTGGAACTGGAAAAAAGCAATAAATTTAACAAAATGATAGTTCAGTTCACTAGAAAGGAAAGGCAGAAGACCAACAAAATCAGAAGTCAAACCCATAAAGTTTTTATGTCTCCTCGGCACTGGCTACAGGCATCTGTAGACATTTTCAAAGGCATGTACTTCCCTTCATGGCAGGAAGACACCTTTCTGTCAATTCTTATTTAAATGCTATATCACGGGCTGCTCAGAATGACAGCATATGCAGCAAACTCTGCCTCATCTTTTGTCCAACTTTCTCCTGCTCATCAAAGGCAAGAGAGTTCTGCATCCAGCCTGTGGCCGTCACTGTGAAAGGCTTTCTGCACATCCTTCTGACATCAACACTCCTTGGCTGCTACTGGAGTCGCTGCAATCCTTGGTCCCTATTTCTACGTAATTCATAGCAGCTCTAGTTTTCATCTAGTATGTTAGTTGTACTATATCATCCTTTCACTGATGCTTTTGCTTTCTTCCAGATGATTCCCACGAGAAGGTGGAATTGCACAGATCAAACTCCTCCCAAGGTATGAGCCCCAACCTGAAACTCTTGGTTCCACGGCTTTAGAAACCACAACCTTAGCTTTCCCCTCCCATGTCAGACCATCCCGCCCCTCGCTGAATGATTTCTGGGTTCTCGATAGCCTCACAATGAGTCATGTGGGTGGTCACAAGGCTTGCCTCTGAAACACGACTCATGTTCTAAATAACTCTCCAGTCAACCCCCTCTATCAGTTTTGAGTCAGTCACCTGGTAAATGACATCCCCAGTAGCTACACACAACCTCTAGCCCAGACTGCACAGAGAACTACACACACGACATGTCCGTGCAAACCATGCATCTCACCCGAGCGCTACAAAGACTTCACCTCCCTAATGATGCCTTTGGAGCACACACTCTAAAATAACATTCTCCACTTTTTCTCTCTCATCATGGTTAAACATTTTCTGTGGCTTGATCTACTTAATATATGTAATTGTTACATTTTCCTTTTTTTGAAGAAATTTATTTGTTTTATGCATACAAGAATTAGGGTACAGGCCAGTGGTGCAGGGGGTGAAAGGATTAGCCAGAGACAGAACGGGGAGTAGAACAGGCAGGCTGACTGAAATACACTGCTGAGGGGAGCAGCGGGCAAGACAGGAGAGGTCTGCCGCGCCATGTGGATAGCTCCCTGGAGGTGGGGGATGGAACTCGCTCTGCACAGGCCTCAGATAGCTTCACAGCACTGTGCTTAAACCCTTGCACCACCAGAGAGGCCCACATTTTCCTTTCTCGCAGCATATCACTTCAACAAAGCAAAGACCACTTCCATGATTACTATTCTTATCCCCACTCCTAGATAATTTATCACTGTCAAAAACTTCCCATGAACATACTAAGTGAAAAAACAAATGCCTGAGGCCTCCCTTGTGATGCAGCGGTTCAGCACTGGGCTGCAAAGCTGCCCGCAGCCTCTGCAGCACCAGTTCGATCCCCGGCTGCTCCCCAGACATTGGAGGAGGGTCCCACCCACATGGCGCACAAACCTCTCCTGCCGCCCGCTGCTCCCCTCAGCAGTATGCTTCGGTCTTTCTACCTGGTCTGCTCCCCGCTCTGGCTCTGGTGAATTCTCTCACCTTCCCGTGCTTCTGACTGTACCCAGTGCATGTATAAATAAATAAATTAATTTTAAAAAATTAATTAATTAAAAAAAATGCCTGAATAAGTACCTTAAAGAAAACAGTCGGTGAGAATAAACTAATAGAGAACACAGAAAATGTGACTACTGAAGAATAATTTCCTGCACTATCAGGGACTGCATACTGGTGAAGTCCAACATTGACAACCATTAAAAAAATAGTAGGAGGACATCTAGGAGAGAGCTTATGTGGAAACTGAATAAAGAATCACTTCAATAGGGCCTACCCGGTGGCGCAGAGGTTGAGCGCTGGGTTGCGATGCTGACCACAGCCTCTGCGGCACCGGTTCGATCCCCGGCTGCCCCCCGGCCACCAGAGGAGGGTCCCACATGGCGCGCAGACCTCTCCTGCCGCCCGCTGCTCCCCTCAGCAGTGTACTTCGGTCCTTCTGCCTGCTCTGCTCCCCGCTCTGGCTCTGGTGAATTCTCTCACCCTCCTGGCCTTCTGACTGTACCCAGTGCATGTATAAACAGAACAAACAAACAAATAAATAAAAAAATAAATGCCTCCATTTAAAAAAAAAAAAAAAGAATCACTTTGATAAATGCAGACAAACTGTCCAAGGTTTGGACACTGGAAAAGTAGCGCATGTGGCCAATATCACTGGCCACTCTCCAGCCTCCTACTAGCCTCCTGCCAGGCAAGCTCTGACTGACCTGAGAGGTCCTGGCTTGGGGCTTCCTCCGCAGCCCACGACTGTACTCCCTGCTCCGACCTGATGCTCTCCTCAGGATCGGTAACACCAAGCCCTGTGATGAGGAATAGTGTTTGTTCGGTCAACTTAAACTTCAGTTTTGAAGACTAACGAAAGCAGTGTTGAGAGCTGTGCAACGAAGGTCAACTGGAACTTTTCAGAAAAAGGGCGAACACCCACAATCTAGTCTGTTGGCCATGTTCAACCTCACCACCACCCAATTTCACAAGAAAAGGCACACTTAATCAGTGTAGAAAACAGCACTTGCACTCGTGTTACACGGCAGCTTCCTCACAGAGGGACAGCAGGTGACTGCAGGTCTCCAGCATCACATCCCGGTACAGGGTCCTCTGAGCATCATTCAGGTCCTCCCACTCCTGCCAGGGGAAGTTCACAGCCACGTCCTCCAATGACACCATCCCCTGTGAGGGAACATTTCTCCTCATTTCAGGGCCGTCAGTCTGGGTCACACAGCAACAGTGTACACGCTCCTCCTTGTGCGCTTGTACAGGAGGAACCATCTTCCTACTCTACACTGTGTTGTGAACGGTTCTCAGGAGAAATAGTCTTGCCTCTGGATTAACCCATTCGCTCCTAAAAGAACCACCATAGTTTACCATACAAATCTGGAAATGTCTTTGAGTCTATGAATACAAGGATGAATAAAATCTCCTTGAAGAGCTTATCACCTGGTTGGCAGGTAGAATAGACACATACGTGGAATAACGTGCTACGTAGCGGTGTGAAAACCCTCTGAATGCTGACACGGTACAAGAGAAGAAAAACCAGCACTTTGTAGGGTTGGGTTACACGTCACTGAGGACCCAAACGCTGAGCTCTTCCTTGTCAATCACACTGTCATGAGGATGAGACAACAGCAGATGTCGTAGAGTGAGAAAATGAAAAGCACTGGCCATGATAACTGACCTGCAGAGAGCAGGCTGCCAGGCAGAGTCCCCGGCAGTAAGGCAGGAGAGACAGTGAAAGTATTCTGGAACTGAAGTCAGTCAGCTTCTATGAACTGTGGGATATGTGAGCTGAATTCACCAGGGTAGAAGGATATGTGGGGTCTCCCTGGTGGCGCAAGGAGTGAAGCACCTCAGGACGAAGCAATCCGCAGCCTCTGCAGCAGGAGTTCGATCTCTGGCAGGCCAGGGCGCACCCACATGGTGCAGCAGACCTTTGTGACACGAGGATTACACTTACTGGGCGCTCCTGGGAGTCAGACGGAGGGGCTCCGACAGGCGAGGGGAGGATGCCCTTTTGTGAGACTCATTTCCACAAATAAGGGAACATCCCCGAGAGGAGGCGGCCAGGTTCTCACATTGGAAGGACTTGTCCAAATGTCTCCGTCCCTTATCAGAGGGGGTGGCGGCCCCTTAGGACCGCACCACCCGCACCCTTGTCGCTGGGCTCCCCACTGCCCCCCAGGGCTGACCCCCATCCTCTGTCCTTTCTCTGGGTTGAAGATGTCCTTGCAGAGGGGCAGAGGCCATGTTGGTGGGTCACTCAGTGTTCCTGGGTCTCCCCAGGTGAGCGAGGAGGCGTCCGTGTTTCCTCAAGTGCATTTTCTCCCAGGGATGCCCTGGAATCCGGGAAGGTCTCCATGGAGAGCCTGCAGGGTGGATGAGGTGACGTGTCCTCCTCCCAGGATCCCGGAGCAGACCCAGAGGAGTTTACAGACCGGGAGACAGGAGGTGCCTGAGGACCTACCTGAAGGGAAGGGTTGACTCAGGTGGGGGGTCCTCAGTGTGTGCTGGGGAATCCAGGGCGAGGCCCTCCAATGAGCAGAGAGAAAAGTGACCTTAAAGGATCACCCCAGGGCGAGAGGAGGGAAAGCCCAGAGAGAGGAGGAAAGGGAAGTCGCGCGGCAGCAGCAGGCAGCAGTGCCGGGGCAGTCCCAGAGTCACCCTGAGACCCTAGACCCTGTGCACCCTCCACCGGCGCTGCCATCTGCCGCGTGCGGGGCAAACACCCCCTCACGTAACAGCCCTGCCGTGGAAAACAACAGGGTTGGGGTGCAAGCTACAGAAGGACAGGGTTAGACAGTTTGCAAGGAACCAAAGCCTCCCGGGCCTGTGGGGTCAGTCCCGTTACCCACAGTGATGACCCGGCTTTGGGCAGCACCTGCCGCGTCCTCTCTGCAAGTGCCCCCTCTGTGGGCTGTGGGGGGAGAGGACACCCCTGACCTGCCCTCAGGCTCCTGAGTTTTAGGGGACTTGCTGTCGGGGTCTCCGCTGCCTCAGTTATCTGTTCTGAACAGACCTGCCCCAACAAGGGGCCTGAGCCACAAGGGGTCTCTGTCCTCCCCCCAACCCCCGCCTCTTTTGGTCCTGCCCAGGCTGCAGAGTGATGCCCAGACCCCTGCGGGGATATCCCCGGGGGCAAAAACCTGCCCAAGAGGGCGGCTTCTGCACAGGAGAATCCAGCTCGCCAGGGAGGTCCACGGGAATGTGGAAGGGGAGACCCCAGCAGGCGGCACCTCCGGGCAGCCACCTGCAAGGGAGCAGAATAGCCCCCCCACATGCCGCTGTGGCCCAAGATTCAGTGCAGGACAGGCCCTTGAGAAAAAGCTGGGTCAAGAAGACCGGCCCCCACCCCCCTGAAAGCAGGAGCTGAATCTCCCCTGCCCGGGGCTGCCCCAGGGAGAGGGGGGCTCACAGGGGTCTGCGGGTCCATCTCCCCTGCCTGGAGCCCCGACCTTCCCTGGCTGCTGTCCCCGCAGAGCCTGCCCTGCCCCAAGGGCGGTGCCCCCTGGGGTGCGAGGACCTGCCTGGAGTCTGCTCCTCTCCCTGGAGCAGAGATGTGTGTGGGGACGGAACACCTGACGCCCCCACTATTAGAAATGCCTTCCCGGTTCGTGGGCATCACAGGGCTGGGTGGAGGCTCCTCTGCACTTACCCAGCAATTTCTCTCCCACAAGGTTTTCCAAAAATGCCACAAAGAGCAGCACGTGGAGCCCCCGCGCATCTTCTGGCCAAGACAGAGAGAAGCTGTTTAAACAACGAGGGGAAGGATGGACATTTTCCCAGGTAACAGAAGTCACCGAACAGATCTGAAGACCCGCTGCTCCTCCCCACTGAACGAAGGTTGCCCCGGAGGCCTGGCTGCTGCCTGCGCGGTGGGTGAACTGCAGCGCGCCCTGGGCGAAGCGTCACCGGGCGGGTGGGGCTCAAAGGGCAGACTGAACTTTCAGGGCGCCCCGTCCTGCCCCCAGGGCTCTGATGGAAACTGTTTTTGGGCCACAGATCTTGGAAACAGCGAGAAGGATGGGACCAAGGCCAAACTCGGAAAATGTCTTTCAAAATATTTTAATGGGGCCTCCCTGGTGGCGCAGGCGGTTGAGGGCCGCACCGAGAAGCAATCCGCAGCCGCTGCAGCACGGGTTCAATCCCTGCAGGTCAGGGAGCAACCCACACGGAGAGGCAGACCTCTCCTGTCTCCCCTCAGCAGCGTATTTCAGCCAGTCTGCTGTTCTGTTCCCCACTCTCCGGTGGATCCTCTCACCCCCTGCATCTCTGGCCTGTATCCCAGCTCTTGCATGCATAAAAAAATATTAAAAAAAATCATTTTATGGGGCCTCCCTGGTGGGGCAAGGGGTTGGGATGCAGGCCATGGGGCTGTCCTCGGCCACTGCAGCGCAGGTTGGATCCCGGCCTGGGAGATATACAGGTGTACAGCAGACCTCTCCTGTCTCCCCGCTGCTACCCTCAGCAGTGGATTTCAGGCAGTCTGCCTGTTCTTCTCTCCGCTGTCTCCGGTGAATCCTCTCACCCTCCCACGCATCTGGCCTGTACCCCGGTTCTTATATTACAATAAATAAATCTTTAATAAATGAATGAATGAATGAATGAATGAATGAATAAATAAAAAGGTGGACTGCGGTCCTCACTCTAACTTGACTTCAAAGCTCACCCAACTTTCCTGAGTCTGACGAGCCTCCCAGTGATAAGGCGCACAACACTGTCCCTAACTAAACTAAGAAACCAGTAGTTTTCACTGGCCTTGGGACTCTGCACACAGCAAGCCAACCCTCCTGCTGAGTCCCTGGCTTTGTGCCTTACTCCAGCATTTCAGGGCTCCCCGGGTGGGTGTTGCTCTAACTAGGGACACAGGGGATTTAGAACAGCTCCTCTGCAAGGAACAAATATCCCACCGACATTCTTTCAGTCTAAGGGCACTCGAAAAATGGGCTGCGTCCCTGGTGCAATGTGCTCTCATGTCCCAACCCCAACACTTGCTATTCTACTACTGCTCGGCTTGTGACTAAGCCTACACTCAGTGCTGGCCCCAATGACTTTGCTCCAGGGCAGGGAGGGGGCAGCCCAGACCTGCAACCCTGCCTGCTCTAAACAGGTTCTGCCATCCTGCTTCCTTCCTTCTCAGTCTCCTCTGCAGCTTCTCCTCTCCCTGCTCAGCTCCACCCTCCCTTGGGTGGGGCAGGGAACCTGGAACCTCCCCTTTCCTGGGGACCCCCTGTTACAACTTCACCTGTGACCGAGGGCCCTTAGCCGCTGCTGTACTTCTCATTCTCCTCTTCAAATCTTAACATACACAATCTCCTACTCAAATTTGTTTCTTCTAAGCGAGGGGGAGCGCCTCAAGGTTAAACTCCTCCTCCCAACAAACAGCTCACCCCTCCAAGGGGAACGGCCTGTCCAGATGCCCCCCTCACCTCCTTCCAGAACCACCAACAGGCAGCTCAGGGACGAGTGTCAGGGAGACCCTCTCCCGGGCCCTTGGAGGCAGGGCCAGCTCTACATGCCACTCCAGCAGGGAGCAGCTCCTGAAAATGGACCTCCTCCCTTCAACTCCCCAAGAGATTTTGGGCTGGATAAGGTTGGGGGGGGGGGGATGACGGAGGACAAGAATGGAAAGACTGGAAAGGACGAGCCCCAAGGCCAAATCCTGACTCACACTAGGAGGTGGGGGTCGAGCACATGCACAGGACCCTTACCCAGCTGTGCAGGTCGGGGACCCTCAGGCGCCAGCGCCTTGTCAGGAGGCAGGAAGGGAGCAGGGTCCCTGCTCTAGGGAGTGGGGCACAGGCCTGAGGGGAAGGATGTGGAGACGGGCCCACCCCGGAATCTCTGGTCCCTTTCTAGCGCTGCCTGTTGCCCAACATCCGCAGCAAGCAGCCGCTCCCGGAGGAGCGCGCCTCCCAAGGAGAAAGGGGCTGTGGCAGGGCAGGCTCCGCACAGGCCCGGGGCAGCCGCCCCCCTGCCCGCCCGGGACCACGCAGGAGCCTCTTCTCACCAGCTCTCGCCTCTGCGGGCCGCAGTCTCCTGGCGGTGGCCGGTACCTGCCAGGACGTCTCCAGGGACCTCCCTCAGCGGAGGCCGCTCTCCTCAAGGCCGCCACCTGCACCCGCGCAGGCCTCGCTCAGCAAACCTGCCCCTGCCCTTCCCCTGAGAAACCTGCCCGGTAAACACAAGTAACGACTCCGTCTCGTGGAGGAGCGACCTGGGGAACTCCCGGGGGCTGCTGAAACAGGGTCTGGGGAAACATTTCCCAGAGTGAATCCCAGGATCTCAGGCTCCAAAAACCCCATCACCCCCACTCTATTCCCCGAGACCTACAGGGAAAAAAAGGCAGTTCTGGTAGGATACACGGAGATCTCTCTGGCGCCACCTTGTGCCCAGAACAAAATCACCACCTTTCTGATGGTGGGAAGCCAGGGATCCCCAAACCACCCTCAGATGGTGAGAGGGGCTGGGCCGCGCCTATGGGGTAAGAAGGGAAACCAGGCGTGCAGCAAGACCCCATCACGGAGCGGAGAGCCAGACACAGGACCCAGGGCGTGGACGCGCCATAGCAGCGGGCACTGCACAGGGCGACAGCCAGCGTTTTGGACCTGACAGCCCTGGAACTGAGACCTAGAGCGCAGCATTCAGGGGCGGGATCCACACAGCTGCGGGCACAGCGCCGGGTGAATGCGCTGCAGACACAACACCCAGCTTGAATGACAGCCCCTGTGTTGAGGTGCCCCCCCCCCCACCTTTTCTCAGAGAACCACTGGTGAAAAGGAAGGTCAGCAGTGCAGGTCTCTGGCGCCACCCGGTGACCAGAACAAAGCCACCGACGAGCTGATTCCCTGCTGGAACTGAGTAAAGCCAGAGGGCAGGAACCACCAGGGGCAGAGCCCAGCAACAGGACATCAGCCCCCTGGTGGTGTTTTGGCTCCTGATGCAGGACTCAGTCTGGTGAACAGATGTCAGCAGGTTGACTCTGTGCTGAGGACTCTCCAGGCCAACTATATGGACCTTCAGCATCTGTGCACTTCTGTGATCTGCTGGGGGTGTGGGGGTGTCATTCTAAATCCAATTCCCCCAGATACCAAGGAATGACTATAAAGTTTCTGGGGGCTTAAAAGTCATACATGGATTTTCCACCGCTCGGGATCAGCGCCCCAACCCCATGTTGTTTAAGGGTCAGTCAACTGTAAAAGCAAAACCAATCATGAGAGCTGAAAATACATGTGGTTCTGCTGGCAGGACAATCACAGACACTGCTGCTACAACTGTAATGTGATGCCACCATTAAATAAAAAGCTAAATTTTAGTTAGAATTAGGGAAAATCAAGATGCATTTTACCTCTTCCTGATTCCATACTCCTGTCTGATGGAAGGATCAAGGGCGGAGTTCAGTGAACAGGGAGTATTCAAGGTGGGGAATCCGAGCAGGTTGGAGACCAGCTCCAGCTAGATGTCCTGTCAGGGATCTCAGCAGGAGAGGACGGCCTTGGTGAAGTTTTTCTGAGGGCTGAGGGCAAGTGGAGCCAGGTAGGAGTGAGGAAGACACAGACACCTTCTCTCCAGCAAGTATCTCCTCCTGAGGGTCTCAGCAGGTCTTTCTTTATACCTTAAGGCCGGCGGTGAGATGACATCAGCATAAGCATCAAAGCAGAACAGAGACCATCATTACATATTTCCTCATGAACATACAAAGACCCTCTTGATCTCATACTACAAAAGGACACTCCCTTAATCTGATTAAGAAAATCTACAGGGACAATGACTCCCTTAGGTACAACTCTTTTTCTAACATAATCCATTGTCTAAGACAGTACAATGTTCAGTAACAATCAATCACCCTGTCAAGCCTTCCTAATTTCCGAGTGGACATGAAAGTCCATTGTTATGCTCTATGACTAAAATCAACCCATTCCCTAGTACTCAATTCCTCTAGCCCATTACCAATTACTTCAAAGTGATCAAAAGTAACTCATCAATACTGTTTAGTTCTACAGAAATCTAACCTTCAACTAGAAATACCGAACCGCACACAAGCTGCACACTGTTAACATTTCGCATACACCAGATGTACTGTTGCCAAAAACAGGTACCCCCAGGTTAGGCACAGCTGGTTCAGGGCAGCTTGTTCTCCATAGTTCTCAGGGCCAAAACATTTCTTTCCTAACTATATCTTTAACAATTTTTACTTCTTTTCTGACAGTTTGAGACACAGGGCAAGTTAAGGTTATTAGACAGTTTCGGGGACAGTGCAGGAGGGGACCTCTGAAGAATTCAGGAAGGCTTCAGAAATAAGGACAACTAAGAAAATGTAAATCAATTCCACTGGGAAAAACAAACATCCTAGCACCATTGTTAACACTAGGGGAAAAACAAACATCCTAGCACCACAGATAATCTTGTTAAGGATGGTCCTGGTTTTCTTCAGATGATAAGATGAAGTGTAAAGATGCTCACTGGGAGGGCTAGACCATAAAGTAAAAGCCATAAGCTTAACAGATGGGGAAAGAAAATACTGTTAGATGAGGAATGTAAAATTCCTTGCTTAGTACCCTCTGGGAGTTAACCAATCAGGGAGAGAAAGAGTAAAATTTAAACATAGTGAGGGAAAGTATATATTGCCAACATAATATCCCATACCGGCTCATCTTGGCCCCTCCCAGGACTTTATACCTGGGAGTCTTTCTTCTTTGTCTCTTTTCTTCCTAAATAAACTTTTCTTTGAAAGACAAGATTTGTCTCTCTCTGCTTACTTACTTCAAAAAGTCTGTGAATTCCTTTCTATGGTTTCCCAAGACAAGAACTCCTGGTAAAGTGGCAGCAGTTGTTACACAGGCCAGCATCAAGTTCATGCTTAAGAACAATAAGCCAATTGTCACCTGGGTCCCAATTAGGTTTTCACAGGCCAATGAAAACTAACTTACTTCAGCATTAACCAGGAACAAAGAGGAGACCTTTAGCAGGCTTAGCCATGGAGACTCCCTAGTTGAGATCTTCTTTGGCAAGTGCAAGAACTCCGGTCTCCAGGAAGTACAACTTTCCCTCTTCAGGGGAGCACAGGGACTCCCCACTTCTCGGGGTCTCCCCTAATGTCTGAGAGGCGCAGCCTGCCACAGAGCAGGCTGGGAAGGATGAGACCAAGCGATAGAATAAAGCAGGCTGCCCTCACTTCCTCATGCAAAGAGGAGGATACCAAGGTACAGAAATGCCCGGAAAAACAGGTCCGGAGGGCCATGTCCGAGGCCTCAGTTCCAATGAACTGAGGCAAGAAGTCATTGTAAACAGGTGGGGGACACACTTGGAGGTCACAGGCCAGCTGGTGAGAAGAAGACCTAGGAGAGGTCTGAGGACAGAGCAGGGAGGCTCAGGACAGCTGAGACCAAAGACTGACACAGCTGAGGCAGGTCCACTCCTGCTGGGCTCTTCCCAGGGCTGCTCTTCATAAATGCTCCGGTGCAGTGGCACATGATGAAATGTTACTCAGGCATCAAGAAAGACAAGCTCTTGCCATCTGCGGTAACAAGGGTGGAGCTGGAAGGGTACAGTAGCCCATGGAGTCACAAGGAAGAAGATAAATACCGGATGGTCTCACTGATATGTGGAATATAGAGAAAGCAAAAACAAAAAAAATCAAGAATAAGACAAAACTAGCAAACTGACCACAGAGCCGAGGTCCACAGCAAAGGAAGGAGAGTGAGGGGGGCGAGACAGGAGAGGAAAACACAGTCATGGTCCACGGGTGATGTGGCGGTGGGAGAGCTATGGGGCCTACAAAAAAAAAAAAAAAAAGAAACGCTCTGGTGCCGAGTGAGACCTGGAGGCAGGGCACCTGAGAGCTGAGAGGAGACAAGAGGCTGCCCACACAGAAGAGCCTTCATGACTGATGCCTGAGGGGAAAGTGTGTGCAGGGGCCTGGGTTAGGGGACTGACAGAAAGGATGATGTGGCAGGCGACGAATATTTGAAGACTTCAGTTTGGGAAAATCACAACAGGAAAGCACCATAAAGGGAGGATGTGATCCCAGGTCCACCGGGGGGTGTGGCACTCCATGTATGGTTGGTGTTAAAATTCTAACAAACGCCAACAGCTTGATAGCTGTGATCAGCTCTAGAAGTGAATCAGCCAGACTTTTGAAAGTTCCCGGAAGAATTCCTCCCTCATTCCTTCTCATGTGCCATCCCCCTCATACAAGCTGTTCTCAGAACACAGATAAAGGCCCGTCAGCCAGAGAGGAACCATATTCCAGACATCTCATGTAATGCTTACTTATATCCAGAACCTTCCATGGCTTAGATGTGCCTTTCATCTGTCTCCCCCTGATCCATTTACCCTTGGCATGGACTCCAGGTCAGCTCCTTCCCTCTAGCGCCCATGCTGCCTCCCATCACCTCCAGCGATCCTCTTTTCTCATCCCTTCCCTGCCACTTGCTTCCTCTCTAATGTATATAGTTCTAGCACTTTAGAGCCAGACTGATTCCCAGCTGGTCTTCCCAGATACTCTTTGGTGCCTGAGGAAACCTAAATGTCAAGTTCAGATTCCTTAGCCCAGCACACTGAAGACTGACTGACTTCTCCAGGCTCCCCTGTGAACTCCCATATTCCAGGTGAGCAGTCTCAGAAGACCTAGAAAGAGTGGGTCACAGGTCTTGTTCCCACCAATAATCTCATTAGCTACTGTTCCTGCTGGTCCTTGATGTTGGGGTCACGAGTGATTCACCAGGACCAAGGCAGTCTCAGATAGCCCTTGTCTGATTTCCACCCCTCAGTGTGCTCTGAAAGCATATGAGAACTTGGAGGAATTCTAGACTGAGGACTGCTAAGCGCTCACAGGCTTTGTGGACATAGTCCCTATCAGCTGCTGTTACTAAGGACCCCTTGGCGTTCTTGAAAATTGTCCAGTATGTCCTTCTTCCAAAGCATTGATTGCCAGTGTACACAGGTCAGAGACAATGGGACTTACATACATAGATGTTCTAGGATATAATTCTGGAGTTGAACCCCATCAAATTTGAGCACAAATATGGTTCAAGAAATGAATTAATCTGTAATTCCTTAAGAAGCACTTCTAACATTTTTTAGTGTTTCATTTACAATCATGGCCGAAACGAGAGTTTGGTTGGATCAAAAGAAGACAGAAGTTGAGTAAAATCAGGAAAGAAATGTGTTTCCAGAATTAGGACAATATTTAGAGGAAGTCCAAACACCCACTTCGATATGGTGATCTCAATTTGCACAGCCTTGGTGGGTCACATCCCTGTCGCAGAAGCAGTCACAGGTCAAGTCACCTCACAGGAATTCACCCAGCAGATGTAGACTCAGAGAGTGTTCAAGAGGAAGCCTGAACTTGAATGAATATGACAAAGGACTCTGAATGTTGCGCATCAGTATTTTTGTAGAATGTAGAAGTTTTGGTCACACACGCAGTACAACATCTACCTGGTTGTGACTTAGCCCAAACTCTGTGAAATGACATCTTTGTCATCTGTTGTCTGGAATTCTCGGACAGTCTTCTGGCAGGGGCCCTGGAGCTGCCAAATGTAGAGACGGCCCAGGTATATCTAGGCAGAGGGATCTTCTCTGCTTAGGTGAGATTAAGGTAAACATGGGTTAATAAAGTGGGAGCCTACTACTTGGAATGAGGTGAGTGATTTTTTCTTCATTTCCGTACAAAATTCGACATACTTCGTATATGTGTAATTCATTCTCATGCCAACTACTGCAGTCATGTCATTTTTCATATGGAACCACCCAGACATATCACAACAGGTGCTAAAAAGGCATAGGAGAAAAGCAGCAGGAAGTAAAACTGGAAATTGGTTGTGCCTGTCTCAGTGTGCAGCAGGAGAGGGTGGGGGATATATGGACATGGCAGGACACAGACTTCTCTTTGACCAGTAAACAAAAAAACCTGAATCACTTGTGGTATAATGATGTGTTCTTTTTTTTTTTTTTTTACAGAGGCATTTTTTTGTTTGTTTGTTTGTTTTGTTTTATACATGCACTGCGTATAGTCAGAAGCCAGGGAGGGTGAGAGAATTCACCAGAGCCAGAGCGGAGAGCAGAGCAGGCAGAAGGACCGAAGTACACTGCTGAGGGGAGCAGCAGGCAGCAGGAGAGGTCTGCGCGCCATGTGGGACCCTCCTCCGGTGGCTGGGGAGCAGCTGGGGATCGAACCGGCGCCGCAGAGGCTGCGGGCAGATTCGCAACCCGGCGCTCAACTGCTGCGCCACTGGGGAGGCCCTGCATGCGTTCTTATTAAGCAAGTGTCCCCAAACTATGGTAGCAACACTGATCTACTAGTGCTAGGGGCAAAAGGATGTCCTAAAGCTAATTCCATACAGGCTTTGTGGACCCCACCCCCACCCCAGGCCAAAGCCAAAGACACTGGGAACTCCAAATCCCATCCCCACCAAAGGGAAGGTGGCTGGGACCTGAGAGTGGGGTTAAGCAGCCAGGTTTTGTATAAAGCCAGACACGAAGGCTTTGGGGGGGTTTCCCCATTTTGACTCTCTGCCAGTTCGCAGTGTCCAGCCATTTCTGAGAGTGCCTTTGGGTTTCCAGGTCGGCGGATCGGGTAGGACGTATTAAAGACTTTATCTCCCTATTTTC